TCAACGCCTTGCTTCTTTCGATGTTAAACCACCTTCACCATGCATTAAGGCAGTTTCACTTGGCTCTGCTACTCTCATGCAGCAAATATAATTACAAATCAAATCCCGCCCGAACCTTGTATCTCTCTACCACCACAACGCCTTGTACACATGCCTCACCAACTTACCCTCGTTCTGATCTCCTCATGCTCAGCTCCAACGTCCAAACCCTTCGCCAAACCAAGCAAGTTCACGCCTCTGCTCTTCTCAACGGAGTACTGCCCCACAGTGTCTCTCTATGTGCCTCCCTCATGCTCAGATACGCCACTTTCAGATCCCCAGAAACCTTTCACCATCTCTTCCAACAAACAGTCCAGCATTGTCACACTGCTTTCTTGTGGAACACCCTCATACGGGCTTGCTCCATTGCTCAAGTTAATGATAATTTTCAGGCTTATAATCAAATGGTTCGGAGCGGTGTTGGACCCGATGACTATACTTTTCCTTTTGTTCTCAAGGCATGTGCAGACCTTTTGGAGGTAAAAAAAGGGATGGAGGTTCATGGGATTGTTTTTAAAGTGGGATTTGATTATGATGTTTTCGTTGGAAATACCCTTATGTTGTTTTATGGTAATTGTGGGGATCTGAGAGATGCAAAGAGGATATTTGATGAAATGCGTGAAAGGGATGTTGTCTCATGGAATACAGTTATTGGGGTGCTTTCGGTCAATGAGTGCTACGTGGAAGCACTTGATTATTATAGAGAGATGAATTCGGCAATTGGGTTTAAGCCAAATGTTGTTACTGTTATCAGTGTGCTGCCAGTTTGTGCAGAGCTCAAAGATGAGTTGATGGTGATCCAGATTCACAGCTATGTTGTGAAGGTTGGTTTGGATCTTTTGGTGACTACTGGAAATGCATTGGTTGACGTGTATGGGAAATGTGGGAATGTGAAGGCTTCAAAACAAATTTTTGATGAGATAATTCAGAAGAATGAGGTTTCTTGGAATGCATCTATTACCAGTCTCTCTTACGTGGGGCATAATTTGGAAGCCTTAAATACATTTAGGTTGATGATTGATGTAGGGGTTAAACCAAACTCTGTCACCATTTCTAGCATGCTACCAGTGTTAGTTGAACTAGAATTCTTTGGAGTTGGCAGAGAACTCCATTGTTTCAGTGTCAGAACAGGTATTGAAACAGATATCTTCATTGCCAACTCATTAATTGATATGTATGCAAAATCAGGCCGTCCAAATGAGGCATCGAATGTGTTCCAAGAGATGGATAAAAGGAATATTGTTTCTTGGAATGCCATGATTGCTAATTTTTCTCAAAACAGGTATGAGTTGGAAGCCATTGGACTTGTGAAGCAAATGCAAGCTCATGATGCAATTCCCAACTCTGTAACCTTCACAAATCTTCTTCCAGCTTGTGCTCGTTTGGGTTCCCGCCGTCTTGGAAAAGAAATCCACGCAATGACAGTTCGCATGGGATCTGCCTCAGATTTGTTTGTCTCTAATGCTTTGACAGACATGTACGCAAAGTGTGGCTGTCTAGGTCTTGCTCGAAATGTGTTTAACATCTCCGTCAGAGATGAGATTTCTTATAATATACTTATAGTAGGTTATTCTCAAACTACTGATTGCTTAGAATCTCTGAGTTTGTTTTCTGAAATGAAGCTTAAGGGAATGATGCATGGCGTTGTTTCCTTTATGGGAGTTATATCAGCTTGCGCAAATCTAACTGCAATCAAGCAGGGCAAAGAGATTCATGGATTTTTAGTAAGAAAGATTTCTGATACTCATCTCTTTGTTGCTAACTCGCTTTTGGATTTTTATACCAAATGTGGGCGAATTGATCTTGCTGCTAAGGTCTTCTATTGCATGCCAAGCAAGGATGTAGCTTCATGGAATACTATGATTTTGGGATATGGAATGCTAGGTGAGCTTAACATTGCAATCCGTCTTTTTGAAAAAATGAGGGAAGAAGGTGTAGAATACGATTCAGTTTCATACATTGCAGTTTTGTCATCTTGTAGCCATGGAGGGCTAGTTGAGAAAGGTAAAAAATACTTTGAGGAGATGCGCACACAAAATATTGAGCCAACAGAAAAGCACTATGCTTGCATGGTTGACCTCCTTGGGCGAGCTGGCCTTATGGAAGAAGCAGCAGAACTTATTAAAGGCATGCCAATTGTACCCGATGCCAACATTTGGGGTGCTTTGCTCGGGGCATGCCGAATCCATGGGAATTTAGAGTTGGCGAGTTGGGCAGCAGAGCATCTGTTTGAGTTGAAGCCTGATCATTCTGGGTACTATATACTTCTTTCAAACATGTATGCAGAAGCTGGGAGATGGGAAGAGGTAAACAGGGTGAGGGAACTGATGAAATCAAGGAAAGTGAAGAAGGACTGTGCTATCAGTTGGGTTCAGGTTCGGGACCAGGCGCATGCTTTCATAGTTGGAGATGCAATGGAGACATTAAATTCAGACAGTTGGCTCGCAGAATCTTAGATGTTTTGACCCAGCAGAAGCAAGAAAAGAGAATGAGTGGTCAGCCATGAAAAGGAGATGTAGACAGAAGCATAAGCTGAAGTAGTTGATCAAAGCAATTCTTTGCCTCCAGAAAAAAATGAGAAGATGGGAGAGGATTTGAGAAAGCAAATAGGTGCCACAGCTTATATCGATGCAGCTCTGAGACTTGGCAGGTATATAACTTAGAAGAATTTTAAATTTAGAAAGCAATTAACTTAGAAGAATATAAAATTTAGAAAGCAATTATTTGCCTTGATACATTTGCTTGAATAAATTAGAAATATGTGGCTTAGTTTTGTCTCTCCCTCTTCAAAACTGGTAATGACTGATAGTAAATTTAATCTTACCCAAGAGACTTGTTACCCCCACCTCTTCTTTTACATAGTATAACAATGTGTTTCAATTTTATGCCAGTGCGCATTTGTCACCGGTCCAATTCATGAAAAGAAATTTGATTATTTCTTGGTTAGGTTTTGTTCCACTCATTTGGTTATCTTAAGAAGATCGTTCTTTTTCTTCCTCTCTCTTATTTTGTTCCGCATCATAACTCGCTTGCTAGATTTTCATTTTGTTAGTATTGCCTCGGTTGTGTATATTTGATTCAGGTAATTATTGATTCGTGCCCATATAATTGATGAGTTAATGAAGAATGAAAAGGAGATCAGAAACTCGAAAAAAGTACTTATCAAGTACTTTCGAGAAAAGCATTTCCAAACGGGCATGTAATCCTGACAGAGAACACAGAAAATGATCTTATTTGTGCACTCTAGAAGTGTAGATATATTGCCAATTTTTGCACGATTTTCCTTCACTCAAAGAATTCAGGGGTCCCAATGGACTCTACCTAGAGCCACAGATGGGCATATCTGAGTCGAGTTTACAGCTGGTGTGAGTGGGAGCCATGGTTTCAACGCAAAGAACAACTTTTCCATGGCACGTAATTGTATTGTGTTAGAAGAAAACTCGTAATTAACTTGTGATTAGTGGGCTGACATCTGTTTTAAGACTATTCTAATACATAGAATCCTTCCGTTCGGCTCTGACCTTCCAATTTGGCTACGCATTCGCATTTGCTCTGGAGTTTCCTACGCATTGGAGACTTGTGTGGCGGGCTACAGGCTTCTGACCAAAAACGCAAATCCATTGCTTTGAAACGGGATTCTCTTCTCTCTCTTGATACCTGCCTTTTGGAGTGATGAGGGTCCGAGTCAACACGCCGCCAACTCGGAGTCAAAGTATGACTTTTTCCTTCCAAACCAAAACAAAACCTCACACCAACGGGAAGGGATCCCTTCCTTCTAATCCATCAAATTAGGAGATCCATACTATTAAAATTTGATTCAACGGTTATAAACAGGGGGTTCACGTTAAAAGTTATAATAACTTCAGTCGTTTGATCAATTTTCAACGGCACGAATCTCCTGATTTGGTAGATTAAAAACAAAACATCCGGAGATGATCCTTTTCGCACACCAAAAACACAGAGATTCTTACACCTTGGTGAAGATATTAAAGATTAATATTATATTATTTACCCGAATGAATATTGGCGTCATATTATTTATATGAGATGTCATCATGGCATATTCAATGACATAATAACATATTGGTGCGTCACTGTTATATCAGCATGCATATAAATCTGTATCTGTTTAAAATTGTAACTAGAAGGTTAAAAATATATTTGGACAATAATACGCTTCTAACAACATCTGACACTTATCAAGTTCTTTTTACAGAAACACTTCTATGAGCTAAAATACAGAACACAAAAGAAATTCAAACGGCCCTCCTTGTTGTATATTTAGGTACCGTTTGATACGCAGACAGGATGGAACGGGACGGGACAGAACGGAACAGAACGAGACAGGACGAGACGGAACAGATGATGTAAATATTAAAAAAGATAAGGAGAAATTGTCATAAAATGTTATAAATTTGTGTTTCACGGATGTGGAACGGGTCGTTCCAGGGGGAAGAGGTGGAATGAAAAATCAGTCAAATTTCGTCCCATGGGACAACCCGTTCCACAGTTTTTAGACGCACCAAACGTGGGACGGAACGACTCGTCCCGTTCCGTCCCGTGTACCAAACGGTGCCCTAATACATGGAATACTATACAATTTGAAGTCATTAAATTCAATAATTAACATTTAACAGCTAAAAATCTTGATAATAAAATTGAGAATTGTTATTAGCATTTAAAAATTTTCATTACAAACTCTAAATTTTCTATATTTAAAAAGAAAAAACATTTGTAAGTCGTTCAAAATAAAAAATTTAAAATGTCAATGACAGTTTTCATAAAATTAAGGGGTTAATTAGTAGAAGTCTCCCACAACAGGCGCAATTTGTACTCGTTTTCTTTTTCATCCGCTTTCCAGAGAAACCGCACATGTTGGCCGGCCCACCATGTTCCCATGTTCCCATGTTCCAAAAACCCCACCCCTCCTTACTTCCCCCGTATATAAATATAGCACCGCCAACTGTTTCCGCAGCCTCCTTCCCCTCTCCAAACGTCACCCCACCTTCTCACAGATCTTCGCCTAATCCCTCTTAATTTCCCTTTATTTTCACTAATTTTCTCTTAATTCATATTTAGCGGTCGAAAAATGAACTCAATCAGATCCTCCGCCTTCCCAATCATCGGGTTCATGTTCATGGCGCTCCTCAGCCTCGGCTACGGCCAGCAGGCGCCAGCTCCTGCTCCCACCAGCTACGGTAAGTCCATCAATTTCTTCCCTAAAAAAATCAAATTTGCAATTTTTATTGTGTTGGGTCGGTCCAAAAATTTGACAACTTTATGGGTTTTTTCTGATAATTTTGTCTAATTTTTCTGGGTTCGAATTGTTGCAGGAATGGCGATCGATCAGGGAATCGCTTACACGCTTATGATGGTGGCGCTTGCAATTACGTACCTCATGCATTAAGAGATTGATTTTCTCAAATTTTCTTGGGGCAGAAAAACCGAATCAGAATTCACATTGAGCATTATTGTTGTACATCTGGTGATATTATAAAAAATTTATTTATTTTTTTTTTAATTTTTTGTGTGTATTTTTCTCTTATTCAGATGGAGAATTTGCTTTGTAGTTCAAATATTAATATAAATTAATTTATTATTATTAGCTCAATATTTCTGAATTATGTCTCGTTCGCTTGGAGGTTTTGGGCTGCGGCAGCCAACCTGCCCTTTCACATTGTCTCAGTCAATTCATGCCTTTTTTAAAAGCTAATTTTAACGAAAATTTTCTTTTAACAAAAAATTATATTTTTATACTAAAAAAATTAATCTTGATATTATTTATTTTATCTTTATCGATAAAATTCAAAATTTTTAATCATTTTCATTAGTTTTTCTTTTTTAAAATTAAGCTCACCACACAGAGTGGGCCTCTTTGTGCTTCATCAACCTCCGTTCAGGGCTCGGTGTTTGTTTTGGACCTTACTGGATCACTGATTTTAGCCCAGGGTATTATTTTATTTTTATTTTTTAAACAAAACGATAAGCTAATAATTAGCTAGCCAGAATTAGGTACATAACTCATCGCATGCATGTACAGATGTACTGCTTTTGAATTTTTGTAAGTCGGATTAGTGACCTCCTTTTGTTTGTGGCATTGTTTACTAATCCGTTACTGAGTAAGGAATAATCCAACTGAAGTTAAATCGGTGACCTCCTTCATGTAATGGCATTGCTTACTAATTCACAATTTGGTAAGGGAGTTGGATCGAGGAGTCAAAATCTGAATTGTTCATGTTTACTTACAATGAACGAAATTCCAAACTAGAGTTTAATTCTCATTCCTAACATATTCTTCGTTTACTAACGCATAATATTTGGAAGAAGAAAATAAAGTGGTGGATTATTTACATTATTCCGTAACATTCCCATTTCCGAAATTTTAGCAAACATGCCCAAAATGAAACCAAATTACCAACTTTAATTCCACGTATTGGGTCTTATTTGTGTTTCATTCCCAAATGGTTAGTAAGCACAAAAATAATCCGTTATCAAGATTTAAATCTTTATTTTTATCGCAATTACAAATAATTGCACGTGTCAAAAACTCACAAGTGAAGACAAACCCATGTCAAGGTTTACGGAATTGGATCCGCTCCGGACCTTAGTGTCCGGAGCATAGATGGGCTACACAAATTGAATTCAACAATCTCCATTAACTTATTTTTCTGGCCCACCACACAAAATCAACAACTTTGATTTCTTTTAGACACCAATCAACAACCTAGATGATTTGATCCTTAGACTCCGAATATTAAAGTCCTAAGCGGATTCAATTCCAGGTTTAACCTCATTGTCTTAATTTGATTAGCAGTAACTAAGAAAACGACATGTCAATTGTTGGTCGAAGAATACGATAAACTGAACAAACATATGCACAATCCCAAACCACATAAAACCAAAATCATGACGAAACTGTGCAACTTTTCAATTTACAATTGAAAAGTTGAAAACGCACTATCTAATTATTATTATTTTATTTTTTTCTAATCTAAAATGTATCTTATGAATGGCGCTGTAAATTAAGGATTACTATATAAAAAGTAAACAAATAGAAATAATGAATCATAAACAAATTTCCTAATTTTTCTGTTTTCCCTTTCAAATTTTTTAAAGACTTTCTCAACTTAAAAGACAAAACTTAAAGAAATAAATGGTTATCGCTGCACTTCAACAAAATTCTGAGGATGATATGTCTCCGCCGGGGCATGTGATTAACGATGCTAGACATTTTCTGCACTCAATCGCCCACTCGTGACTGTCTTTTCACCAAACGGGAGGCTAACAAGGTTGCACACCGCTTGGCTCGGTAGGTTCTTTTTATGGATGGACAAATAGTTCGAGGGAATCTATGATATTATCAGTGATCTTATGTTTGAAGAAAGTTTAGACTTGTAATTGTATGGTGTGTGATGTCTTATTTTCTTAGATCGAGTTGAAATCCAGTTTTTATCAAAGTCTATGCATGCACCTGTTCTTTTTTTTATATGTATACTGATGTAGTGAATAAGGAGTTTATTCGATGGGGCTTTTGGTATTTTGGTGTTCATCCATTCCGTTAATTATTAATTTGAGATTCATGTATCTTAGGTTGTGATTTAATGTTTTGTAGTAATTTTGATGCATTGTAAGTTGTGTTTTAAATTAAGTGGCTAGATTGAACAATTGTCATTTAATATGTTTCAGTGGCTTAGGGAGTTGTATTTGCATTGATGAAGATGTTTTGGCACACTAGTATATTAGGGAGGGAGTTTGATATGCTAAAAGAGACAATTTGGAATTATAATTTTATGGTAACGAAGAATTGAGCATTGCTCTTCTATCATTTTTCTGTCAAGCCTCGTGTGTCTTTTGACATCTCCTCTATCTCTTTGTCGTTCTGCATTATATACCGTACTCTGTCAAAAAAAGTATAAGATTAAGTGCTGAAACTATTTGTTTTATACGAACGTCATTTGGACTTTTGCTAGATAGTTTTTCAATATTTAGCACTTTTTATTTTTATACAAACGTCATTTGGACGTTTGTTTGATAGTTTTTCAATATAAATCTTATACACTAAATCTTAAACTTAACATGTTTAAGAAGATAACGTTGTTTTTTATGTACCCTGTTTATACTATACTTAGGACCTCCGTATTTAGATCTCGTACAAATACTCGGGAGACTTAAATGTAATTATGTAATAAAGGAATGGGCAAATATGTAATAAGTGAGGAACCCTTATTCTATAAAAGGACTCCTCACCCAGGCCAATTCTTAGGCCTAACCCCTCACCCTCTCAAAGCTTTGACTCTCAGAAGCTCTCTCCATCTATCTCCCTCACAAACAGAAAAATACAATATCAGTGTGGATGTAGCCCAAACATTGGGGTGAACCACGATACATCTTGTGTTATTTACATTTCTTGCAGATTCACGGTTGGATTTACGTTGTTCCAAGACCTCCGGTTTTGTGCATCAACATTTGGCGCCGTCTGTGGGAAACGACATGAACATCTATGTCGGTTCTCTCTCAATTTTTCATACCACCACCATGAATCTGCAAAATCACAAATCCAAAAAACCAAATCTCTCTTTTTCCCTCTCTCTCAAGTTTGGTTTCTCAGAACAACAAACTTGTTCGCTGGGTGTAGATGATTGAGACCAAGAACCAGGCTTTATTCGCTGGGCACCTTGTTGAGCCCGAGCTCACCGACAGTTACTTTAAATGGGATGGGCTAGTCTCTTGGTGCATACAGCTTATGCGGACCGTTAAAAGGCCCGAACTAGTTTCTCTCCCCCAAACCCGCCGTCATCCGCCTTGCTTCCTGCGCATATATATACACGTGCTTTTGGCCAAAAATCCTGCAGTATTGCTGCAAAATCACCAAGCTCGTCTTCACGTCATCGACCTCTCTCCCGTCCTTCTGAGCCTCGGCGTACGCCGCCAACCAATCACCGAGCTCGTCTCCTACGACACCGTCGACGGCGTATACGACGTCGCATGATTTGAGTCCCACGATTCCCTCATAGTCGGTGCTATCGCCGACGGATCCGGCCTCCAACCCCCTTCGCTCCCTCCACGAGCACACGCGCGAGGTCAGCTCATTCAAGAATCATGCATACTGCGCCGTATGATTGGTTGGAGACGAGCTCGATGAATCTGTAGATCTGCGTTTTACTGGCGAAGCCGAAGAGCCAAGCAAGTGGCAGGGTCAACACCGACGCAAGAGATGATCAACCTGATCAACCTGTTGTCCGCCCTTCAAAAAGACATATTTACCCCCAGGTTCTACATCGCAGCGCCCACTAATAACATGAGTCTTCAGAAAGCTCGACTGCTCGAAGAGAACGCCGATGAGAGTTCGAGCTCGCAGTTCATGCAGATCTACCAGAGTAGGGAAGTGGGTCAGTCCTATTTCACCTCTGTTTCGAATACTTTGATTGCTTTGGCTCATGGGCTCTAGCTAATGATCAAAATCTGACCCCAAGTGATTATGTGCAATGGCCTAGGACTTGTGTTCCACTTTATGTAATTGCGTTCTTATTCAAGGTTGTGGGGAGTAGATGGTCGTCTGTGTTTTATGTTGAAAGTAAAACAAAGAGTGCAGCGGCTCTCCCTGAGTAGCTTGCTTCTTTACAAGTTAGGATAGCGGATCAGTTCTTTGTCCAATAGCCTACAGAAGAAGTATCTCAGAGCTCACTATGTCGGTTGTCTCATGTAGTTGATCCGATTCTGCTGCTGCTATACGTGCTCTAACGTCCAGGTTTTCTCAATACAAATCAGGCATGAGGATTGAAAATGGGCCTGTTTCGATTCTTAGAGAGAGAAACCACCGCATATATGCTCTCTCTTTATCTCTCTCTCTTCAATTTCTCTGCGAGAGCACATAGGAAAACAAAATCAAAGCAGAAAAGATGCAGAAGAAAGGCAAAAGTAATCAAGTGAGCCGCGGGAAACAAAAGCAGAAAGCAGAAAGAAAGACAAAAGCAAAAGCAAATCAGAAAACGAAAGCAAAAGCAAGTGAGTGTGCCTGGAGGTGGAGAGATCAGGGTAAAGGAACAGAAAAGAAAAAGAAAAAAGATCATGTCGTTGGGAGAATATTTCAGGAAACAGCAAAAGAGAAATCAAAAGCAATGAATAAACACCCCACCAGAATGATGTGATTTACTTTTCTTGGTTTTGTATGATGTGATTTATTTTTCTTATCTTTCGTAAACATCTGTATAAACCCCATCAGAGGGTAATAAAAAAAACAGAAAAGCCCAAAATAAATGGGCTGGAATGTTGTGTGGAGGGCGAATGCCTATAAGCCCAAAAAAGCACCAACCAGGTGACCAAAACTACGTCCAGTACTACAAAAATTTATTCGGCACCCTGCCGCTATTATCACCAACCAGGTGACCAAAAAAATTATTCGGCACCCCGCCGCTATTATCGCCAACTAAGTGATCAAAAGTATGCCCAATACTTCAAATTATATATGAGCATTACTCATATCAATCATACATAAACATTCATGAGCATTATTTATATCAATCATACATAAACATTCATGAGCATCACTCATGTCAACATTTCTAAGCATCACTCATGTCAACATCCATGAGCATCACTCATGTCAATTAA